TACAAATCTGATAATATGATTGGGTGGGGGTTATGGTCTAGAAAGAAATCCAAAGTTTTGTTTAGAATCTGGGAGAGTATGTGTTCTAATCCTGCCTTGGGCATGAAAGTCAGCTGGGTGATTTTGGGCTAGTCATTCTCTCTACTGGCTGACTGGTACTGGCAAGCTACATCTGAAAAATGCTGCCAAGAACACTATATGGATTTATTTCTGTAGTCATTAGGAGTCAGAATTGATTCAAAGGACCATAACAATTACAACATGGTAAAACTGTCCCAAGAAACCATCTGAATCTGGAGATTTCTTATTCCTGCAGTAAAGGTTTACCTACCTAAATAAAAGTCTTCGTATATTTATCTCGACATTTATGGAACAGACAACTTTTAAATTAAAATCATTAGAGAAACACAGTAGGGTAGTTTATTTTATTAGATAGATATGATTTTATTCCTTCTCAGGATTCCAAGTACAAGATATCTAATTCCTTTCAGAAAATTTGGGGGAAATGAAAAATGAAATGTAATGAACCAATATATACTTTCTGAAGCTGTGTAAAGAAAAATATATAGGGCATATTTAATGGATCACTTGGACTCAAGACTGGGATCCCTAAAATTGAAATGTGGGCTTGGAGGCAGATGATCAATTACTGACTTAAGAAGTACAGATTTGTTTCCCTTAGCTCTGGAAGATGACTACTTACTGAACAGAAAGTAATATCATATGGACTTTCTGTAGAACTTATTTTACTTCTTGGGTGAGAACAGGCAAAACATGTTTTTCTTTGAAGGCTAAATTACTGTATACAGAATATTAGAAAGAAGTACTTAGGTCTGAAAGAATAGGAAAGTGGGGGCTGCAAAATTTCCTTGGAAACCTGCAGTTTTTTGAAATACACTTTGAAATACACTCCCAGATTTGAGGGAAAAAATAGGGCTAGGCATGTTTTCTAACCTGCACTTCTGTAGATTAGATATTCTAAAACCCCTTTAGCTGAACCCACTTGGCCGTGCTTATCTGGAAATTGAAACAATACAGTATTTCCTATTGTCATCAGGATCATTGTAAGAGTTATAGTTTGCTCCTGTTATGCTGACAGAATGGGTGAGTTTTATATTATGCTTTTTCTCTCAGATATGAAAATTCAATTCTCTGCATGGAAGCTAAATGCAGCATAGCTGCAGTGAAAACATTACCAAATATTGCTTTATTGGTGTTTGTGTTTTTTGTAAGTTTTGCTGATCATTGATTGTAAATAAAGATATTCAGTCATTCAGTGTGTGTAGTATGTGTGTATGTGTGTGTGTTAAAAAGTTAAAATTGAAAAGACTGGTATAGTTGGACCATATACATTTGTTAATGCTGAACAATAAGCCCATAATCTAAAAGTAAGTATTAAAAATTAGATTTGTTATAAGATTGTTTTCAATAAACAGCTTAGAGAATCTGCTAGTGAAAAGGGAAAAACCTTTACACATTCCAGTTTGCCATTTACATGTGCCTTTGTCACTCAAACTTTCTGTATATGTTGTAAAAAAAGGAATTTTTATACCCATTCTTTTAAACATCAGAAAAGCATAGGCCCAATCCATTCAGAATCATTTTAGCTCTCCCAAGGATGAAGGAAATTATTATGGTCACACAGTCAGCCAGATATTTAGACTGGATTTGGCATTTTTGTCCACCTATTCAGTCCTTCCCAAGGACCTAGGATAGGCAGATGTTGTTTAATAATATTAAAAGTACTGTCACAGATGTAAGCTATTCCAAGTAAAGCTGCCTTTTGCAATTGACTAATGGTGATTTTGTCAATACCGATGGTGTTCAAGTGGTGCTCCAGATGTTTTGGAATTGTACCCAAGGCACTTATTACTATTGGTATTTGCTTTCTTTTGCCACAGTTGTTCTACTTCTATTTGCAGGTTTTTATATTTTGTGATTTTCTCCAGTTTCTCCAGTTCTTTCTCTTCTATTCTGCTGTTTCCAGGTATTGCAATGTCCACTATCCAGACTTTTTTGCCTT